GATAAACATAGGGGTGCATCTGTCTCTTTCAAACTGGGCTGCTGCATTCTTAGGGTAAATTCCTGGAAATGGGATTCCTGGGTCAAATGGTATTTCTATTTTTAGTTTTTTGAGGAACCTCCATACTGCTTTCCACAATGGTGGAACTAATTTGCATTCCCACCAGCAGTGTAGGAGGGTTCCCCTTTCTCCACAACCTCGCCAACATTTGTTGTTGTTTGTCTTTTGGGTGGTGGTGATCCTTACTGGTGTGAGGTGATACCTCATTGTGGTTTTAATTTGCCTTTCTTGGACGATTAGCGATGTGGAGCATCTTTTCATGTGCCTGTTGGCCATCTGAATTTCTTCTTTGGAGAAGTGTCTGTTCAGATCCTGTGCCCATTTTTTAATTGGATTATTTGCTTTTTGTTTGTTGAGGTGCATGAACTCTTTATATATTTTGGATGTCAAGCCTTTATCGGATCTGTCATTTACAAATATATTCTCCCATACTGTAGGGTACCTTTTTGTTCTACTGGTGGTGTCCTTTGCTGTACAGAAGCTTTTTAGTTTCATACAGTCCCACTTGTTCATTTTTGCTTTTGTTTCCCTTGCCCAGGGAGATATGTTCATGCAAAAGTTGCTCATGTTTATGTCCAAGAGATTTTTGCCTATGTTTTTTTCTAAGAGTTTTATAGTTTCATGACTTACATCCATTTCAAATATGCTTTTGTATATGGCGTTAGACAATAATCCAGTTTCATTCTAACTGTGAAAGTGTATTTCTAATGCATGAATTAGAAAGGGAATGTCCTTGGGAATTTAGATATATTTAGGACTGGACAGAAGTATGCAGACCAGAGCTCAATGGTGCTTCTAAAGCATAGCTTAGATTGATAGTTACAGCCTAGCTGCGTTTAACTTTTTCTATGACAAAAGAAACGAGTTAAACATTTAAAGAAACTGAAAAGTAAGACCAGTATAACCCAAAGAAAGGAACTAGTACAATTGAGAGAAGAAAATACGAAAATCAAAGTATATCTGTGTTGCCCATGTTGTGCCAATGCCCAGCCAGGGCTGAGGGCCTCTGACCTGGAGCCCCCCCACTTCTGGGGGAATGGTTCAGGGTGGGGTGCCATCCACCTCTCCACGGGAGGGGTCAGATGCGAGTCAGCCGTGAGCCGTACCCCAGATGGGGCAGCCAATTCAAAGCCTGAGGTTCCCAGGAGAGTTCAGAGATGTTGTCCAGGGGTGAGGGGGTTTCAGCTGGGCTTGGAAGGCTGCAACCAGGGAAAAACGTTTCCCGTCTGTGCCTGTTGGGGCCTCTGCCTGATGAACACAGGTCAGCAAATAAACAACAGGAGGTCAGGAGGCAGTCTGTGCCAGGGAGCCAATAAATGAGGCCCGGGCCACCTTGAGGAGGGCTCTGGGTGGGGCCTAGGTGAAGGAAGGGTGCGCTGCCCTCCCGCCATGGGGTAGCAGGATGGGCACCATGCAAAGGCCCTGTGGTGGGAGCAGCGAGCCGAGGGGAGTGGTGGGAGCCTGCAGGCAGGATGAGACGCTGGGCTTCATGCCCTGTGCCACGCAAACACTGCAGTTTCACAATCAGCCCCATGTACCAGGTCATTTGAGATCCTCACAACACTGGAGACAGGAGGGTCAGGCTGAGTGCTGGGATCCAGGCCCAAAGGGCTGCACGACCCGTTCACTCACACCCTGGGGCAGGCCATACTGCCCGGCAGGGCCCAAGGGTAACGGGAGAGGCTCCCCGCCAAGGGGCAGCCCTGCAGAGACTGGGGTCAGTGGAAGGTGTGGTAGCTGGATCATGGTCATGACGTGGGTGAGGACCCACAGAACTGTACGCCAGAGGAGTGCATTTCACACTAGAGAGGACAGTGTCAACAAATGTGGAGGGGCTGGAGCAGGGCCCCAGGGTCCTGACGGGCGTTGCCGCAGCAAGGGGGCTGTGCCAGCAGCACCTGCTGGTGAGGGTGATAGCTCCACAGCCAGCCTTTCCCACTGGCCACATCGGCTTGCCGGTTTGCTCTCTGCTTTCCCAAGAGCTCCCCTGCCCTGACCTGTGGCCCTCAGAGAGCAGATGTGAGCAGCAAAGGGGTATGGGCAGAGCAAGGCTGCCTGCCTCCCCAGGAGCCCAGGGTCCTGCTGGAGCCCCTCCCACCGCAGCCCCATGGGGCTGTGGCCCCCAGGCTAAGATGGGAAACTGGGTGCTGTCGCCAGGGTCAGCCCTCACTGGATGCCCCCACTTGATGCCAGGCCAGCGTCAGCATGGACTGAAGAGATGGGCCTGTGGCCCCCGCCACTCCCTGGCAGCCCGCCTGCACCACAGGGCTGAATGAGGACATCCCCCTGTCCGCTCTCCACCAGGCTGCCTGTGCATCTTTCTCCTCAGTCCCTCTTGTCATGGGGTCCTAGTGCAGGATTGTGGCGGGCTGTGCCTATAGCTGTGCTCGGCCATCCCACTGAGAAGGCCACTTGGGAGAATTGGCAGGAATGTCCAAAAAGCCACGTCCCCTGCTGGGCTGCAGTGTCCCCCTACCTGCCTGGGGCCTCATCGCCCTTGGGCTTGAGGGCTTCTGTCTGGCGCGTTTCCTGACTTCCCGCTGGCACTCTGTTGTCTAGCCTGGGAACCCTGTGTCATTGCGGCGCCTTGAGAATCTGAGAGGGTGCACCACTGTCCTCATGGCCGGGCCTTGTCACTCTCGGGACACACCTGGTGCTGCCCTGAGAACAGACCCAGCCCCACCTCTGTTCAAGGGGGGCCGTGGGCACCAGGCCAAGAGTGTCCCCCAGGATTCACATCCGCACAGAGCCCCAGAGAGTGGCCTGGCTGGGAGATAGGGTTGCTGCAGGTGTGACTGGTTAGGACGAGGTCCACTGTGGAGCGGGGTGGCCCTCGTTCAATTGCTGGCATCCCTACAAGGGGAGGGCGACTGGGGCACACACGCAGGGGGAAGGCCACGTGCCCGCTGAGGCAGAGATTGGGGCGCCACATCTGCAAGGCCCCGGGAGGTGGAGGCCACGCTCAGAGGGAGCATGGCCCCACGAGGGAGGGCACGGGAGCCCGTGACGATGCCACGCCCAGTCTGAGAGGACAAGCTGGCGAGCATGGCCTGTGCGGCGGGCAGCACCTGCTGGCGGGACAGGGGCACCTTGCGGAGCCGTGGGACCGGCTGCACCGTCACTGGCTCTGTGGAGGTGTCAGCCCCGAGCAGGAACCGAGGCTGGGTTCCCAGCGCTTCCTGCCCTGGCTCCAGAGCCGCTACACTGGCGGCCTACCCGGGAGGGCCACCAGGTGGTGGAGTCCCTCAGCTGGGAATAAATTCCGTATAATTGGGTTCCTGAACAGCTAAATAGTTACTGATAGTAAGTAACAGAGTCCAGGGGTGATCAATATGAGTCCCCTAAGGACTAATTCTTCATTTGAGAACAGTTGGATCAGAAGGGAAGTGAACAGAGCTGGGGCCCCAGGCCCTCCACTCCAGGGAAGGACGTGACGTCCTGAGGGCCGTGCCAAGCCCTGGAGACTTGCCAGGCAACTGACCTCCCACAGGCCCTGGGCAGCTGTCTCCCCAGCTTGTCACCTGGGCCCAGGAGGGCATGGAGGGATAAAACCTGGCCTGCAGGGCATGGGGGTGCCACCTGCAGGTGAAAAGAGTGGGGGGCCCAGCCTGGGCAGACACCCCTCTTCCTGGTGCCTCTCTGCCAGGCTCTGAGTCTCCCATGAGACGCCAGGCCTCCCAGGAAAGTTGGAGGCCTTTGAAATACAGTCAC